GGTGCCAGTGTGACAGGGCGCCCAATCACCCCCCTGTAAGCAGGTGGGGGGGGGGGGGGCGCACCTTCACTAGAGCACACGGAGAATCTCAGATCTAAGTCACCAAACACGCCCAGAAGCCCACACTGGCATATACATTACACGGCTTTTATTCAAGATTATAAATAGCGTTTACTTAAGTGACCTGAAAGCCTCCATGAGGTGCCTTTGTTGGCCTGCTTGAAATTACTGGTTACATTTGAAAGTAGCAAAGCCGGCATTCTTTACAAAACACCGTGTAATCAGATTTCCACTTGTTCTTATAGGTCAGAGGGCGGGGGACATGAAAGACTGTGCCCACTCACCTTGTGTTTGTAATAGTTTGAATGGAGTCGTGCTAAGCTCTCGTACATCTCATCGCAGGCCTCAGGCTCTGCCACCTGAAACACAAAGAACCCCAAGGCAGTGAGCCAGCAGGCCCTGCCTGCCAGCCCAGCAGCTCACCTGCCCAACTCCCCTCACTCCCCACTATTAGAAATCACCTTCATGGGGTAATGGCTCCACCTCATCCACTCCCCAACCAGAGAAAAACTTCCACCAGCTGGCAAAGAAACATTCAAGCATCTGTGCCCTGTGAACCACCACCCCAGCTGCAGCGGGAGACGCCACATCCTATGTAATAAAAGCATAATATGCAAATCAACCAAACGGCAAACAGTGGAACAAGGACCACACTATGACACCCACTGGTGCCAGGCCAGCCAAGGCAGGTGCGATGCGATTGGTCGGGGGTCTGGCCATGGCCTCATGATTGCCGCTCAGAGGCCCAGGCCACCGACCAGCGGGCTGAGGGAAGCCCAGGTTGCAGGTGCCGGAGGGAAGTGGGTGCCTGCAGCCAGGGAATGTCATGCATTGGAGCTCTAGTAAACATATAACACAGGAAGGGCGCACCACATAAGGGTGCTAGGGGCAGTGTGGGCTCCAGGAAGCCGGAGGAGGGTGTGTCCCCAGGTGTGAGCGGTCAGTGTGCGGCAGAGTGCGACTAAGCTGGGCTCTGAAGGATACATGGGAGGGAGCCTTGCTGGTGGAGGGGTGGGTGGGCCAGGCAGGGGAGGCAGGAATGCTGTCTGCGTTAGCCCGCCCTCTGGCGGAGGGTCTGAGCGTGCAGGTAGAGAACCTGGGCGGAGGAAAAGAAAGCTCTTTGAGTTAAACCTTCAGTGTGGAATGTATCACATAAAGATTCTCTTATGAAACACAAACAAACTCATCTGAGCCTTCAACTGTGGAGAGGGGGAGCTGCTGAAATCTGCAAGGGAAGAACATGCAGAAACAAGTGTGCTGAGCCGAGGTGGCTGCACTGAGGGAAACTAAGAGGGAGTGAGGTTAGGTCCTGCTGGGAAGGGCGAGGCCCCGGACACGGAGGCCCTGAGAGTAGAAAGGGGAAAGTAGGGAGATGTTCTGGCCCTGGCTGGTTTGGCTCAGTGGACAGAGCGTCGGCCTGGGGACGGAAGGGTCCCGGGTTCGATTCCAATCAAGGGCACATGCCCGGGGTCTGTGCAGGTGGCCGGGGGTGTGCAGGAGGCACCCAATCAACGATTCTCTCTCATCATTGATGTTTCTATCTCTCCCTCTCCTTCTCTGAAATCAATAAAAATATATTAAAAACAAAAACAAAGAAATATTCTGGGTGCCCAAGACAGCGCTGCCCTTGCTGGAAACCAGGGAAGACACAGATGAGAGCGGTGATTCACCCTTGACACCTCTTCAGCTCCCCTCCCCTGCCCTCGCTTATTTATCTATAGTTCTGTACGTTATTCAGCCAAGACTTCTGAAAGCTCCCCAGAACAAAACTTCCTCTGTTATGTTTTTTGCCAGAATTCAAATGCTAGATTTTTCCAACTTAAATCCTTTCTCGAAGAAGGCAGAGCACAAATCAATCAGTAGTTAAGTGTCTTAATAAGGCCGCTCGCTTCTGCCTCTGTGCGTGTCAAATGAGGTCCCCACTTTAGGGCCAACAACAAGATGATCCGCCATTGAGTTCCACCTGATCCGCGCCGGGGTTCAGCCGCTCATTTCGAGAAGGGCCAGGGGATTATGGGCTGAGGAGGTAGTGTTTGTTGGGTAGTAATCAAAGGCATTATCTGAGTGGACTGGGCTAAGGGCTGGAAAGAAGGAACTGAGGGAAAGCCCAGAAGTCTGCAGCACCCACTCCCAGGGGAGTGGGAGCCTGTGTCTTCGGCAGGGTGTGCACAGCCAAGAGCGAATGTGGAGACAGAGGCACGGGAGACACCAGCACCGGGTTTTAAAGAGCGTTAGGTAGCGGCTCTCTGTGGGGCGCGCTGTGCCCTGCCCCACCCCTCCCCCTTTCTCTCTCCGACGCTCCAAGGGCCCTTTTTCTATCTACAGCTCACTTCTACCTCTGTGACTTTCTAAATAAATGTTTTCTTATTAAAAATAAATAATATTATAAAGATTACTACAAGATAATTGAGCATTTCAACTTGTGCTTGCTCTCTCCATACCTGCAGAGATGTGTTTGCTTCTAAGTCTCAAAGACACGCCTTGGACCCAAACCGCCTGGGCCTGAATCTTGGCATCATCGCCAACCAGCTCTGGGATGTTGGGCAAACCCCTAATCTCTTCCTGTCCCTGACTCTTCAAAATGTCCCCCACATTTGCTTTATCATTCTGTGTGTCTACATACATGTATTTTTCTTCTGCTCCATTTGAGAATAAAGTGGAACATAACGCCCTTCACGCTGTAAGATTTCAGTATGCTTCCAGAGAACCAGGGCCTTCTCTCGTATAACCACAGTCCATCGATCAAACCCAGGGATTTCACACCGATAGAGCACTTTGTCTAGTGCACACAGGAAAAATTCTGTCTCAGTGATAACTTTTTTAATCCTCACCCGAGGATATTTTTTCCCATTGATTTCTAGAGAGAGTGGAAGGGAGGGAGGGCGGGAAGAGAGAGAAACACTGAGGGAAGAGAGACTCATCATTTGGCTGCCTCCCACATGTGCCCCAACTGGGACTGGGGAACCTGCAACAAGGTAAGTGCCCTTGACCTGGGATTGAACCCGAGAGCCATCGGTCTGTGGGCCGACGCTCCAACCACTGCGCCAAACTGTCCAGGGCTCAGGAATAATCTCTACAGGAAAAGAAGTCCTTTTGGCCCAGGATCGCCTACTGCGTCCACCTGTCACATGCATGTCTCCTCACAGCGGGCAGCTCCTCGGCCTGTCTTTGTCTTTCAAGTACTGACATTTTTGAAGCGACTGGCCAACTGAACCTTTCTTCTAACAGAAAGGATAATAATAGCCCTGCTTCTGAGAGCGGAGGGTGGGCGGCGGAGGCAATGCCGTGCTGACGGACCTGCAACCTCATGGAGTGAGGGGTTAGTCTTGTTACTATTAGGAGTCAACAGCTGTGTGACACAGGGCTCTGGCCCACAACGACAAGGAGACGGAGAGGAGGTCAGGAGGGTCCTGGTGATGGTGGGATGAGGGTGCGGTGGGTACAGGGAGGTGTGGATGCTGCCCAGGGGTCCGGGGAGACCTGGCAGAGGGTGCTGGTGGGGATTGAGCGGAGTTACCCGAAGGACGCGGGCTCTCCAGGCGCAGGACCAGGGAGCACGTGTCCAGGGCGCCCAGGGAGTGGCAGTGAGGACATGATCAGCGGATCAGTGCTGCCGTGACTGCTGGGGTGTGGCTAGAAATGGTGACGAAGGAACCGGAAGGAGATGTCACTGCGTACCTGCCCACACCCGGCCCGGATCCTGAGACTCAGCGGTCGTACCTGGTGGTGGGCTCAGCGGGGCTCCAACACTGGCCCCTGCTCTCTGCCCCACCTGCTCTTTGGATGCCCCGCCTGCCACCCTCCAGGGGCCGCCCCCCCGACATGCTCTTAGGAGAGGCGGCCACTGCCGACTTGCCTTCCTCCCGGCGCCTCTCCCCGGGGCTCCTGCCACTGCTTGTGGGTCCACCGAGACAGGGCGTCCTCGGCACACCCACGCTCCCACCAGATCCTCGCCCTCAGAAACCTTGCCAAGTTCCTCTCCTGCTTCTCTCACTTCTCTAAGGGTGGGGATGTGCCAGAGGGCTGCTCAGCCACCTCCTCCGTACCCTCAGGGGTGGGCAGGGCAACAGGGTCAGAGAGGGCAGACCTTACAGAGCACTGCTCCCAGAAGGGCAAACAGCAGGGGGTCTGAGTGAAAAAACAGTGACTCTCTGGGCTCCTGTGACCTCTTAAAATCCCTTCAGCAGTAGAGGCTGTTAGATGTGTCACATAGTGCCTGGAGCTCACTACAATCAGAGCAGGAACCAAACACTTCAAACGCCTGTAAATAATCAATCACCAAAAATGAACTTGTCACCCAACCTCCCACCTGGGGTCAGAGGTGTTTCTATGAGGCTGTGGAAGTGCTTTATGGAGGTGATGACTTTGCACTGGCCAACGTGTAGCCGAGTTATCACAGCCACGGCCACTTCCGGTTCCGTCACACCCAAGCCAAGCTCAGCAATTAAAGAACAGTCTTGCTTACTACGTAAGAGGCCATCAGCGGAACACTTGTCTAATTTCAGAGGCTCACCACACCTGCAGCCTACGCTTACCCAGACTCCAGCACAGCACTCCTGGGTTGGGAATAGTTTGCTGGATGACATGAACGCGCACTTTTGGAAACGTCCTTATGTTCAAGCTTTAAACGACCTGATTTTGCATTCACACCTAATGAGACGGCGGGTATCTTGGGAGTAAGAGCATAGCTGCTGAAGAAGGCAAGCGGCACATTAAGAAAAAGTCAGCTCCGCTCCCGAAATGTGAGTAAATAGATGCTCAGCTGACGAGGTGCCCTCCGTGGCTCTATTTGGCTGCTCTGCATTTCGCCGCCATCGAATGTGGTAGATTTCTCTTCACCACATTAAACTTTCATACTTAACAAATGCGCCGCCGCCGCAGGCATGGACTCTGATTTTCAAAATTGAATTTTGGGTGGTGCGGGCAATTGGTGCAGCGGCCCCTATTCTAGTCACACAAAGGGACTCATAAGCACTTTTGGGAAAGGGTGATGCAAATTGCTTTGCTAGTTAAGACAGAGCTGGATTCAGTCCAGGAGGATCTATGAATAAAGGTTTTCATGACTTGGTAATGAACTGAAATGAGTTCATTCTGTTATGGGAGCCTATTCCCTGCGATTCAGTTGAAAATGCATTTCTTAGGCACCTATTATGTACAGTGCTCCGCCAGGAGGCGGTGGGAGGACATGAAGACCCAGCCTCAGCTCTGGAGAAACTGCAATCACGGAGGAGACAAGACCGGCTCGAATTAAGAAATCAAACATGGCCTGGCGGCCTGTAACTGAGTGCCGGGTACAATCAGAGCGGGGAGCGGGTCACCAGGCCTGGCCAACGGGGCCGCTGTGGCTGGGGGGCCTCAAGTTCCACTGCAGTGACACTTCAGAGTGAGGGGCAGCGAGTCCGACCCTTTGAGGGGTGTAGACTTCAGAGCTAGACCTGGGCCTGGGTGGACGGGTCAGAGGAGTGACTGGGAGGAGGAGGCATGAAAAGGTACATGCTGTTCCGGGCAGGCAGGGTCTTGAGCCAAGCAGTGCTTCTAGGACCTGGGAAGCCACCAAATTCTTGGCGAGCCGTGAGTTTAGGGGAGGACGG